TAAATTTTAGTTATTGTTTGATCAACTACTTTTATAATTTTATTTTGAAGAATTCAAGAATCATTAGAAGTTTTATTTATTTTTTTACCTTTTTTACTTTTAAAGTTTTTTATTTTGCTAATTTTATTATTTTTTTTAAGTTGTTTGATATTTTTCTTAAACATTTTTTTAATTTTTGTTTATAATTGTTTCTTTTACATTTTCTTCTTTTCATATTTTGCAATTTTAAGGTTATAAATAAAAAAACATTCATCTGGGAAAGGTGTGGGCAAGTGGTAGGTGCTAATAATTATAAATYTATTTATTTACTTGAAGCGCCAGAAAAGTGTTTTTTTTTGTTGAGCTGCGGTTCTAGAGTAGCTACTCACACCGCGTTTWTTWWTTTTTTTTTATTTTACACCATGCTGAATTAATTGAGTCACAGCAACTCAAGCCTCTAACAAATAATGCCAAATATTTTGAACCATTACGTATAATATCCTTTTGTGAACTAAAATTATCATTTTATTATATAAAATATTATTTATGCTTCTTACCAACACAAGTGCATTCATAAAMATGTGTGTTAATTGTAGAATGCGGTTRCCAGAAGTGCCGTTAGCGCTTTTGGAGTGCATCTGCTGGTGGAGTTGTTTTTATTTGTATATATTTTATTTTTCTTTTATTTTTACCAGCGATTAATTGCTCCAGTCACTAGCACACTTTGTCCTGAGCTGAACGGTCTGGTGGTGGTAACGCGCCAACGGTAGTTCGCCACATTCACATTTTAATAAATTAATTGCATGAATGCTTTGGCGGCGCCCTCGGCTGCTATAGTGGGTACTAAAGTACATTTGTGTATAAAAAAAAATAAGAAAACTAAAATAAATGTCGTAATTTGTGATAATAACGAAATGGCAGTTGGCATTTCGGCGGCAGGTGATTGTTGTGCCTCGTGGTAAGAGTAGCGGAATTGCCTTTTTTCTTTACAAATTTACGACTGTTAATAACATCTTATTCTCTCGCTAGCGTTTAAGTCATATAATGCACATTAGTCGCTTTTCCTGTTTCTCTCGTCCACTATATACATATTATATATAGATATGTATGTATATAATATAGTGTCATTTTGCGTAGGTCGTGCCTGGTGCTTAATTTGTTTTTGTTATTGTGTCTCAAATTGCACTAGTCCCGGCCTGCAGATTTTGGCATAACCATCGTGACGTGAAGACCATTATATACAATATGTAGCTAATTTTTAAAGAAAAGTACAACTAATTTGAAAAGTGTTRTCTTTTAYGAGGCGWCAGTGTTRAAAAAGTGTSSAAATGTATGACATTAAATCCTGTTCAGTATTAGAGTTTACTTATTTCAATGAAATACTCCTTCAAGGAAGGATATTAAAAAATAAAATAGTTTCAAGAAAAATGTTTTGCAAATTTTATGTTTCGAAAAAACCGGTCGCGTTGCCAAGATACTAAAAATGTCTATAACWTTGAAAATAATTTGCCTTTTGAAAACTCCTTAAGAGTGGTATTTTTGAATATTTAAAAATTAATATCAAAATATGAAAATAATTAAAATTTTTGCACGTTCAAGATAAGAATACACCCATAAGAGGTTATATATCCACTTGCAAGTAAAAAAACGCGTTTCTGGCAAATTTGTTTTTTTGGAGAGAAATTTTATTTAATAAAAAATCTTCATCTGATCTCACCAACGGAGTGGAGGTTTTCCTCTAATTCCACCAGCGGGTATTGCATCGAATACTTTCAAAGCTAGAGAGTTCTCATCCATCTGGACAACATGACCTAGCCAGCGTAGCCSCTGTCTCTTATATCTCACTTATTGCTCCATTGACTGCGGTATTCACCGTTGCCAATGCACAAAAACACAAAAAAAAAGTTGAATTTCAAAACTCACATTGTTGTTGGTGTTAATTCCAAGATGGACGAAATTATCTACCATTTCAAAGATGGCTCTCAATAGTGACGGTAGATTCTTCGACGCCAATAAAGAACGTAGACACAGCTTAYATGGTTACAGTCGAGTTACAACAGCCTGAAAGACAGTCGTTTCCTTTTCATTGGGGGCTTTTTACGTGGCGGGTCTTAAACCTAGCGCACAACCCTGGGGAAGAATGTTTCGCCTTCTCACTTTAGCTCGCCTTAAATGGATATTCTTTGGCTGCCCAGAAGATATTTGCTCTAAGAACGAAAGTCGTGAGCTACTTGARCCAAATGTAAAGGAATCGTTTCTGACCACTCCCAAGTGAATAGCGCTCAGAGTACTTTCTTAAATTGCATCAACTTCTACACATGACTCCATCTGCTCTATGGGAGCCGATTACACTAAATTAAAAAAGAAAGTATGCTCATATCTCTGAAACTATTTAGCGGATCAACTGCAACAAAATAAGTATATACGTGTATCATATACATTGTAAATACATATTTACTGTCATTTATATACGTATGTAGTATCGACTCACAGTCGCTTGTGACTTCAACGTTTAACCGCAAAGTGCCAGTCATTCAAAAAAAAAAAAAAAAAAACATAACCACAGACAGCTTCTGGCTTCTCAGCCGTTAAAATAACAACACAAACGTACTTTGTAGTCACTATGGCAGCTGCTGTGTAAAATTAATGAATGAATAACCAACTCGAATGTAGAATATAACGTACGCATGCGCGCAGACAATAACCGCTTATACATGCTTTGGTCAACTTTCGTGTCAGCCGCCGCACACAGCGCTCATTTTGTTGTCTCTGTTTTTTTTTTTTTTTTTAATTTCGAAAGGCAAAGCTTTTATAAATTACACTTTAATGATGAACAGACGAATAATTTTTTCTTCTTACAAATTTGCACATTTGCCGATGCCGCAGTTTTACAAATGTTTTCTGGATAAGTCTTATGTTCTTTGGTTCCTTGTGGTTACAGGTACATATTAAAATATGTTGGTATAATAATTTAAAAATAAATACAAATACAAAGGGTTAGCAGCTGCCTCCGGGCTGAGTGTTTAAATTTTACTTGACAGCTGACGAATTGGTTWCGGAAAGATTACTCTCTAAATGTACAAATGTTGCACCCGAATCGAAGCTGAATATCTTACATTGATGTTGCATGTTGTACGAAATGCAAAATGTTGCACGAATGTTGATGATAAAATGATTAGCATGCATATATTTTCATTCCTATGTTTTTAGTAAATGTACGAGATGTGTTCAAAAAGTATCGCGAATTTCGAATTTTTTTTGGCGTTATGTTGGTACTCATGTCTCTCACTTATGCCGACAAGCTCGGCCATTTTGAATATTCATTTAATTGTTGACAGCTGCTTTGCTT